GTACGCGTCGCCAGTGATTGGATGTTTATGCAAATGCAAAAACACATATTGGCAATGGTTTTCTGTGCGTGTTTGCGTGTAGGTTTGTTTGTGTGTGGGTGTGTTTGTGTGTGTATGTGTGTATGTATGTGTAATTTGCCACCCACTTTTAACTTTTTTAGCTTTAAAAGGCATCCTGGTAGTACAGGGAATTTAACCACAACAGAATCGGTAGCATTTTTCATTTCTGTGAGTATAAGTAGCATAAATGGCAAGGCAGTTGCGCATTGAGGATTGCATATTAAGCCTTTTTTTTGTCCCCGATTGATTGCAGTATTAAGATAATCACGAGATTTTAAAATCATGAATAAGAGCTTTAATCTTTGTAATGTTTTATTTTTTCATTTTTCCATTTTGTATTTTTATTTCTCGCATTTTGTCGAGGGATTTCATAGCCCACGTCGTATGCCCAGTGAAACTGATGTTCAATTCAACCAAACGTTGTAGAGGCGCTCTGTAGAATTCGGTCTGTGTGGTATCGTTTTTGCTACAAAGCGCCTTGACTGCTTTCATCAGTGGTTCATTTCTTATATTTATGTACATTTTCTTGCAGATGTTTGTGGGATTGACTTTACCATTCTACGAGGACTTCCGTGGCATCGATTTTCCACCGCTGGATGATCCTACAACAGAACCCAAAAGTTTGTCATTGATTTTTTGGTTCATATGTCTTAATATTTTAATGTATATGGATAAGCAGAAATGTTTGAAATCTGTTGTTTTCATTTTTGCCAGGCTGATGTCACTGCTTCTTCCTCGCTTTCCCTTGTCTTTTCCCCCTCCTTACTTCACAGTCCTCCTTTCCTACCTTTCCTGCAAGTCATAGTCTTGTAAACACATTTGACATCGATCACGTAAGAAAACAAAAGATCAGAGCGAATTTTTGACAATAATTAACCTCATTTTGCTGAAAAATTCAGCTACATGTCTCCTGCTGAGTTGAACTTTTCATCGGCTGCATAAAAATTCTTGTTACGTGCTTCAAATTTCATCTTACTCCGGCGATTTTAGCTTCTTTTCTTAAAAAAAAAAAAAAACACATTTTGTAGTCCGGCATGTTCTTGTCCGCTTCATCACGCATCTTTCGTTATTGACTTGATGAGTAATTTTATATGTCGATGTTACTTTTATGCCTTAATGCTATTTCCAGATCACCATCTCAGTGCAATGCATGCGCTCGCCAAAGCTATGGATCTCTCAAAAGCTTATTTGTAAGTATATTTTTTTTTTGTTCTCTTAAAAACAAGGGGAAAAATTGATGTTTAACGGAGGGTTTCGTAAGCGGTCCTAGCTTTAAGAGTTTTATTGTTTCGACATGGCATTAAGGAATCCCACTGTCATCTCAGTTGAAGAATTGATGGTACCACTGCTGCATGAAAAATCTGTGGTACCACTTACGATCTTTGAACAATCAAAATATTCTAGCAAACTGGCACAGGGTGATGGTATTTAACAGGCGCATATCTGTAAAACTTTGAAATTCAGTGACCCGGAAACAGAGCTATTTGAGGAAGCACTTCGTCCACGTGATGTGCCTAATCCAAAACTACAAAGTGTTTGTCAAGCAATGAAGCATCGTGCGCTACATCCCAATACTCCGTTG